CAGACTAATTCAGGGCAAATTTTGAACTGAAGCGCCTAAGCAAAGTTCTAGAACAAAATGAGACCTGACTAAAAAAAGTCAGGCCTGTGGAATGAATCATCTGCTTAAAAATACATAAATAAATGCAAAACACCTGGGTCTCCACAGATGGGGTTAAAAGATGGTTTGAATGTGCTTAGAGTGAGATGCGCCCTCTGCTAGGCTTGAGGTCTCCTTGAGAGGAAGACATCCTCAGAACAAGACAATTCCTCCCCCGGCCTCCACTCTTCAGTCAGCAGGAATAAAGGAGGGGCTTCAGACCTCTGCCCGCTCCACCTTCTCCTCAGTCTTGCCTCAACTCTCTAACTGGGGATCATTAGGGCTCTTTGCCTCATGCCCTTTATTAAGGATCATGTCAGTCTCCACAAAAAGCTTAGACCTCTGGGGCATCCTTCCTCCCCAAAACCTTCCATTGTGCCTTCTGAAACTCATGTTCCATCGTTCACAGAACCTCCCATTTCCTCAACCTCTTCTACCAATGCTCCTTCACCCTCTTGCTCTAATGGAAACCTGGCTTCCTCCTAAGGATGCTGCTTCTCCTGTAGCCTCTTCTGAGATGTTTTCTCTTTATACCACTCAGCTGGGAGGCAGGGGATGTGTCCTCCTGGGCCCTCATTGCCACTTCCAGACCACTTTCCTTTCCTTCTCCAGAAAAGCGCCTGGTGTTGAGTCTCATGTCATGCCCAGTTGCATTTCTAGATTCCAGCCCTCTCATCCCTTTCTGGCTGCTGCCCTGTCACTCCTGCATTGGCTTCCCTCTTTCTACTGTATTTTTCCTGTCAGCCCATAAAAAGCTTTTATTTCTCCCATCTTGAGGGGGAGCCCCTCTCTTTACCCTAACTTTTCTCCCAGCTATGCCCCATGTTTCTCCTTGAAAGCACCTTGAGAAGTTGTAGACAGCTGAAGTTAGAGCCATCCCTGTGTGCCTCCTGCTGGTGTCAGAGCTTTGCATTCAGCCTCCCTCCTGCTCAGGCAAAGACCCAGCTGTTCTTCTTTGGCCCTGATTTCCCCTCCTCCTTTTGTGTTAATCCGCACACTAAAAGTAATTTGAAATGAATGTATCCTTGGAAAACACATTTATTTTCTTTGAAATTTGCAAAACCTTCAAGTGAAAACACTGGCATATAATACAAAGGCTCGTTTCCTTTGGGAAACACTGACCATTCCCAAGGTGAAAGACAGCATAAATGTGTCCTTAAGTAAGAGACACACTCACACGAGTACCAAGTTGGAGTAATAAACAGATTCAGGAGATTATGATTGTGTTTTGGGGAATGAATCGCTGCTTGTCGGAACTGTGGGGAGGTCGAGGGTGTTTTTAATTTAATGGATTAATCATTTATGTCTGAAGTTCTTGCTCCTTCCTATGAAAGCAATACAGGAGGTTTGAACGAAGTTATAAATCATGTCAGTGTTTGGGCCACATCTCTGGAAGGCCTGGGCTGTGGGTAAGTTATACTCACAATTTGAGAGAGGAAGTAGTTGCCTGGAAGGGTTCCCTTTAGGCAACCAAGTCAGGGCAGAGACATGGAAGGGGAAGTCCCAGAAGATGGTGGTCCAACTTGTGTATGGTATCCCACCTCACCACCAGGGAGTAGGGGCAGCTCCAGGGAAAAGAACCTTTATTTTATCCCTGGCTTGGCAATTTTCCCTGGGCCTTGATCTTCCAATCTGTATAACGGGCTGGAGTGTTGCTTGGGGCCACCGTCTCCAACCATTTATGGCCACCAAGAATGGCTAAATATGGCTTTAGAAAACCCCAAGTCTCCCCATAACTGCCCCACTTTGAACTATATCACCTGCCAAGCATTTCTATGCATTTAATACATATTATATCTCATCAGGCTAGGTCAAGGCAGTCAGAAGTGTGACACAGACATCAGAGCATAGGTTCTGGGTCCAAATCGACTCCAACTGGTGTGATCCCAGGCAAGTGGCTTTACCAAGAAACTAATCCATAAAGTGGGTTAAGATGCATGATTAGGAGGGCTCATGTGAGCTGCTTAGCACAGGGACTGGCCAAAGTAAGCACTGGGAAGACACTGATTGTCCTAATTGTGGATGTTGTACCCAGGAAGGGGTAACTTCCCAGTTTCTAGAAGTCTTGGTAACACAGGGGTTGTGAGAATCAAAGAAAACCTCCCAAGTCTCAGTTTCTGTCCTGGCTTAGTCTAAGATGAGGCTCATTGAGCGTCCCAGGGAGGGAGAAGATCACAAGCCCTTGTCAGAGGAATTAAAGCTTCCCATTTGAACAAGTGATATTGTTCCGTGCTACTCAGAAGAGGAATGGTTGACTTGGGACAGTATCTGCTCTTGTTGGATCCAGAGACCATGGCGGCTCACCAACATTATGTTGCTTATGTGGCACACACTACACTCTACATGGCCTGTGGGAGCCCTAGCTGCTGAGTGTGACTTGCCTGAACGACTCACCCTAATTGGTACTGGGATGCATTGAATCTGAGGTGGCTTTGGGTGAAGCCAGACATGAAAATTGGTTGGCAGACTTGGCCCTTTCCCCACCATTCCCTGTGTGCTTATAAGACAGATGGGATAATTTGGGGTTAGCTATTTCTTTAGGAAGACAGAATACAGAGGAGGTGAGGGTTGTTCTGAGCAGCATTTTGGGCAGGCTTTGAGGGGACAACATGCATGGAGCCATTTACTAACCATTCACCTGCAGGACGTGGGTCTGGAACAGCTCCTCATGGCCGGTGGCATGGCAGGTGTAATTGCCCATGTGGATGGTGGTCACCTTGGTGATGTACAGTGAGTCATCCTCTCCGAAGTCCTGCATGGGGCAAAGATGGCAATGAGACTGGCCTATGTATTAAGTAGGCTGGGAACGATGGCTATGTCTCCTGGCTTCCCAGGAAAATGGAAAGCCTACAGCTGTGAGAGCTCCTTTCTGTCGGCCTCTTGCTTGATCAGAGCTGCCTGCGGGGCTGAACTGACCTGGGCAGCAGCAACACCTCCCCTCCTCCACATTGCTGGGCTGGACCCTGTACATCGCTTAAGGCCTTGTTCACCAGGCACCGTCTCCATGAGGCCCAGCTTGGCACCTCCCTCAGCACACTCCCTCTCAGTTTCAACTAACCCTGCTCACGTGTCCTTCCTATTTATCTTGCTGCCTGCTGCTTGTTCCACTGGGGTCTTGCCCACCTGAGGAGAAGTTCTGTTTCTGGAGGGTGAGTCTTGTTTAGAGCAGGGGTTGCCAAACTTTCTTAAAGGGCCAGAGAGTGATGTTTTCAGCCCTGTGGGTGGTACTTATCTCAGCGACTCAACTCTGCCATTGTGGCATGAAAATAGCCTGAACAATACAAAAATTAATGAGAGTTGCTGTGTTCCAATGAAGTTTTATGTTAAGTTGGTGGGCTGAATTTGGCCTGTGGGCTGCAGAGTGTCTACCCCGTGGTTTAGATCCCACCTCTGTCCCAACATGATTTTGGGCAGCTTGCAGAGATCTGGGTAATCCAAGGGAAGGGAAATAGAACTATGAGAAAAATGGGGCATGTGCGCGCGCGCGCGCACACACACACACACACACACACACACACACACACACACAC